AATTTTTAGTATTTGTGGATGCAAAGAATTCAACGAAGAGGGATGCATATAGAAGTCATGGTCCTGTTTTTTTTCCCTCCTAGGCTATTATTCGTGAATTGGGTGGTATTCCAATTGTTGGAAACAAAATCAACAGTCCTAACCCCAGCATTAAAGAGAAAGCTTTAAATGCATTAAATAATCTGAGTGTGAATGTTGAAAATCAAATCAAAATAAAGGTAAGTTGTCTGAAATCACAAATATATAAGGTTTTCTATAAATGAAAGAGAAAATAACAAAAAGGTAACTAACGAAACTTTAGTAGATTATTCTTTATAACTTTATGGTCAAGAATTACCTTTAGAGGAATGGAGAATAAGGTAGAGGAAGGACGAGCCGAAACCAGCCAGTAGAGGTGCAAATAAACTTTTGAAGTTGGGCTTCAGTTTACTCCAAGGCGCTAAAGGGAACAGTCCAGAGTCAGATAATATCAGCAGAAAGTCACAATAAATTAGGAAATTATGTTAATTCAATTCAACACTTATTGAACTCCTCTGTGGTATAGAATATAGAAATGCACACGTTATAACTCTTTTTCTAAGAAAGATAGGAGGAGGGATAGGGCAAGTCCATAAGTAGTTGTAATTCAAGACAGAATGTGAGGAAATGCTTTAAGGAAAAATGTAAGTAATTTTTGGGTACCTAAAAAGGAGAGATCCTATCCAAAAGTTTCTATAAGAGTGGAGTCTGACCTGGCTCTTTAGAATGTCTTAGATTTCTATAGGTAGAGTTGGAGAAGGAGAGAATTCCAAGAGAAAGGAGCAAGATGAGGTGGGCACAGTGACAGGAATAATTAATTGAGCTGGCCCATTTGGTCATCTCGTTACTAGAATTGTGAAATGGTGAAAACATTCAGATATAATAAGGATGTAAATATTCCACATATTTTAGGAAAGACATGAGTATCTTACAAAAATATATGATTTATATAGAGCTAAAGAAATGCCATGTTTTTAAAGGATGGGTGTGTAATGAAATCGTGACCAAGGAAAGCCAGTTGACTTGTAATTAAGTTCTTGAAACCAGATTAAGAGTTTAATCTTTTTTTTGCTTTACTGCCATTACTTTATATGGTAACATGGATACATTTGGGGACTTTTTAAAAATTAATATTGGCTTATGGGGCAATTGGTAACTTCTTAGTACTTCAAATTAGGAAAATTTTTTTGCCAATTAGAACTTCTGGTGGAATTCAGATTTATAATAGTTAGGTAAATACCAATTTTCAGGCTGACGCGGGAGGATCGTTTGAGCTCAGGAGTTCGAGACCAGCCTGAGCAAGAGTGAGACCCCATCTCTACTAAAAATACAAAGAAATTGGCTGGACAA